CTTAGATAGGAGAGAAGAGTCAAGTTTCCAGTATGCATTCTAGGTCTCCATCTCCAGGGCGATCAGACTGTAGAAGAACAAACACACCCACGGGACACGGAAGTGAAACGAGAAGTCTAGCTAGAGACACCACCTCACAGAGTTGTGCCAGTTCTGATGATGCCAGCTGTGATGGCACTGAGGTGATATTATCCACACCTGCCATTCGTGACAACCAAACACATGTTCGATGAGTCAGATGAGAAAGGACCATCCTTATCAAATGCCTGAATGGCTTTAGAAATTGGTTGATGTCCCATTTTACTCGAGAATCTTAGTTTACAGAGTTCAATAGGTGACCCACCGTTCACTGGTTCTTTATTCTTTCCCCAGACAGTAACAAGTTAGGTACAATATATTCAAGAGCTGACCAGAGCCCTTGGCCTGGGGAAGCTTACAGTTTTGTTCCACTGTCTGTAGACATTTCTTACTGTTCAGACTTATGAGGGCTTTTTCTGGTGTTTTTGTTTCCTTGCTTGTTTGAGCTAATGTAGGAGACCGCTCATGGTAGGCTCATAACTAGCTCTTTTTCCCTGGTGGCTCTAGGCAGCCCCTTCCTCAAGCTCTATAGGCAAATAGCAGCTCTGGAAGCTGCTGGAGCCGGGACACTGAGACTCTGAGCTAACTCGGTCCCAGACATTATCAAGCAAATTACGAGTGTGTGTGTGTGTGTGTGTGTGTGTGTGTGTGTGTGTGTGTGTGTGAGAGAGAGAGAGAGAGAGAGAGAGAGAGAGAGAGAGAGAGTACCACATGACTACATGACTACCTCTTTTTGGTCATTCCACTTTTTTTTTTTTATTTTATTTTTAAGATAGGTCTCTTACCGCCCTGGTATTTGCCACATATACCAGGCTGGCTCTCCAGCAAGCCCCTGGAATCTGCTTGTCTCTTCTTCTGCTGTGTGGGAATTACAAGAATCTATTCCTGGATCCTTATTTTTATCTTACATGGATAAGTGTTTTGCCTGTGCTATGTGTGTACACCACATGTATGCCCGATGGTCAGGGAGGCCAGAAGAAGCTGTCAGATCACCTGAAACTGGAATTACAGATGTCAGAGAATCGAACCTGCTTCCTCTGGAAGAGCAGCAAGTGCTTTTAGCGCTGAGCCATATCTCCAGCCACCCTCCATCCCCGGCTTTTCTAAATGATTGTTCTAGAAATTAGACTCAGGTCTTCCAAGCACTTTACTAACACAGCCATCTCCCCGGCCCTATGAGGGAAAAAAAATTAATGTTCTCAAATAAGACATTTGTTTACATAACTATTAAACAAAAGCAGTCTTGTAAATTGCGTGCATTAAAAATATTTGTATTTCAGGTTTGCAGAGATGGCTCAGTGGGAGAACTGATTGATGAGCAAGCATGAAGGCCTGAGTTAGGACCACTAGACCCACATGAAAGCCAGGCATGGCAATGCCCATCTACAACCCCGGTGCTTAGGAGAAGAGCCAGGCAGACCCTGGGGGTGCATGGACCAGCCAGTGCCAGTCTCATTCAACGAGCAAGCTTCACATTCTATGAGATACTCCATCTCAAAAACATAAGTGGAGATCAATAGAGAAACACACTTCATGTCAACCTCTAGCCTCTATATGCACAAGTACCCTTCACACACACACACACACACGCCCACAGGCACACACATACACACACAATTTGAAATCTAGCTTTTAAAAGCTAATGTGAAAAACAAATACAGGAACTGGAGAGATGGCTCAGCAGTTAAGAACACTGACTGCCCTGCTAGAGGACCCAAGTTCAATCCCCGGCACCCACGCAGCTGCTCATAACTCCAGTTCCTGGGGAATCTGGCTCCTTCCTCTGGCTTCTGAAAGCACCAGGCACACATGTGCTACACAGACATGCATGAAGGCAAACACCCATATGGATTAAATAAATAAACAAGCAAATGAATAAAGAAATAAAGCAACCATAAGCCCTCTTGCTTCTTCCTGCCCCCTTCAAGGAGCACAGGGTACCTCTTTGCAGACAGACAGCAAGGTGACATCTATTGATTTCTTCCTTTGTTATCATTCATCTAAATACTTTGACAGGCAAATTTGAGACAGTTTTTATATTTTAAAAAAAGGGGTCCCAGTGTGAAATCAACAACCTGGCACACTGAAGGTAGGTGGAGTCACAGCCCTGAGGGCTCAGAATATTGACTCAATACATAAACAGATGTCTATCCATGGAGCCCAGACAGAAGGTCGGGGGTGAGCGTCCTTCCTGCCATCCACAGCAGTCCTGGGTAAGCCCTGAACTCACCACTCTGCCCAAGCCTGGTTAACTAGGCAGAGCCCGGGAAGGCTGCCAAAACTGGAAACAGGCATCGCTTTACACATCAGACACCACATTGTACCAGTGTTTTTTTTATTGTCGCAGACTGTTATGATAGACTTTATAAATTGCGGTTGGGAGAGTTGGACCAGTAGGAGGCTTTCAGAGTTCTGTGCTAACGGGGGAAAGGGGCCAAGACAACCTAGCCACAAACAAAAAAGGAGGGAAAAACAAGATTACTTGTCTGACCACAATGAGCTGGGTAAACACCACTCTCTGCATGCCTATAATGTGATAGTGCACTCATGTCTGCTATGTCTTACCACTGCCTGGGCTGATCTCTCAGTACTGATTGCAACTATACACGATTTATTTTATGGCTTCAGTCAATATCTGTGAGCAAAGTTAAGATGCAAACCTACTTCCAGAATGCCTGCTACACCCAGCCGATTGTTGGTGCTGCCAAGACAAAATTAGAAATCTGACTACTCAGCAAATATTGCCGACGTCACAATAACCAACGCTTTACATCAAAGGATAATACACTTGGTAAACCGTCCGTTTGACTAGGATAAAGGAGTAAATTTGCGGGTCTAAGGAAAAGAGGCATGGCGAGATGCCTGGGTCCACAGCTGCACCGTATGGATGTTGATTAAGGGTAATGATAAGGTTTGGGAAACATTCATCTCCTTCCTACAGATCGGGCCTAGGAAGAACGAGGTTCCCTCACCTCCAGCACACACTGGTGACACCCATAATGCGTATATTATACTAATGTACACCGGCTCACTGTAATAGTTTGTTGAGCTTTCAAAAGGCTTCTAACAAATTGTCCATGTTTTCTAAAATGTAAAATCCGATGGTAGAGCGCATAAAGCACAACACTGGTGAAATAAAGTCCCACTCCTCTCGAGAACCACGATGAGCTGTTAATACAAAAGACTAGGCTCTCTTTCTCCCTTCCTCCTTCCCCTCCTCTCTTCCTCTCGAAAGGAGTGTCCCACGATGTCACTCTCGCTAACCTTCAGCTCACAATTCCCCTGCCTCCATTTGGGATGACATGAGCCGCCGTACCTGGCAACCATGCGCCTTTAATGCAAGCAGCTGATTCTTCTCATCTGATCTTCGTCCTAGTTACCCACATTCTGAACTTGAACCCAGAGCCTCGGCCATACTAAGCATGCACCATGCCGCCACTGAGCTCCACACTGCCTCCCCATCCCGCCAAGAAAAACTGTTAACTTTTTAACAAGGGTAAAATTCTTTCTTCCCTCAACCAAACTGTGTTCACTCATTTAAAGTAATTTCATACTGTATTAATATGCATATATTCGCAAAGACACATAATAGTGGCTGTAAGCAACACGCCTTCTTATGCTTTCTCTGGTGACATTGATTTTACTGCTTGTAGGACGCTCAGTTTTAGCGAATCATCTCTGGAATTAAGGTGCGGGTAGAATTGGTGGTGGCCACATTTAGCCAGCTACTCTCTTAGTGAGGTGACACAATGAAGCAAGCGGAAAGTTAGCGCCATCATCAATTTCATAAAGTACAGCTAGTCTCACCTTGACAGTGTTATATTTACCTTAATTAGCCTTACAGCTTACTCCTTCCACCTGCACTTTTAGCCAACACACTTTTAGGGCGACGCTCTCCCGCCGGAGAACTAAGCTAGAACCGGACCAGTTAATTAGTAAATCTTAACAAACCCAAGGCCCAACAGCCTTGAGAATGCCAGCGTTGTTCCAAGATAATGAGACAACATGAGAAGTAGCGAACTGGAAGCTGGGAGGACTTGTGGATGGGGCTCACAGGCAGACAGGCAGCATTTAGCGCTGAATTCCTGCCCAATTTTTGGCGGAGTCAGTAAGTGCATTAAATCCGCGGCAGCAGAATTCCCAGGTGGCTCTACTCAGGGAAACCTGACAGGGATAGGTTCCTCAGCTGAGGCTGAGAGCACAGCTGTCTCCAGTCTTCGACATTCTCATCTTTCTTATTGCCCAGCTCTCCCCGACAATCAGAAAGGAGACACCTGATTTCCACCTCCCCATCACATCTCCTCTGCACGCCTGCCTCTCACCACACCTGACAGCCGAGGGCCAGTTACCTGGTTCCTCATGGGCACCCAGGCCACAGGTGTGCAACAGGGAACCCTGCAGAAACAAATGAGGAAAGGGCCACCAGAGAGTCCCCACAACCTAGAACGTGGTTTTAAGATCAAGGATTCTAACTAACAAAGGGATCACCAACCAACAGTAGTCACTTTGATTCTCCTTCCAGGTGTGCGTTCAGATTCCTCCTCTTGAAAAGAAAAGACAGAGCCAGACAGTGGTGGCACACGCCAGAGGCAGAGGCGGGCAGATCTTTGTGAGTTCAAGGCCCGCCTGGTCTACAGAGTGAGTTCCAGGACAGCCAGGGCTACACAGTGAAACCCTGTCTCGAAAAAAAAAACAAAAAAACAAAACAAAACAAAAAAAAAACAAAAAGCAAAACACGAGAAAGAAAGGAAAGAAACTGACCCCCGCCAATTTCAAGAGAAATCTCTTGACGATAGCCTCTCAGCTCTTTTTCCATTTACAAAAACGAAAGAACAGCGCCAACAGTGTTTCTCAAGCCTCACTATCCCGCTATTACAGTGCCAGGGAGAACCCTCGACTTAGAGACCGTGGTGTGGACTGACCTTTTGCACGGCCCCGTGGAAGGCCTGTTTCATCCTCCTGCAGGACTCGGGCAGGGCATCTGTGTCGTCGCTCTCCACAGTCGAGTCCTGTAAGCCTGTGTTCTCACGGAGTGTGAGAATCCTAGAAATGCAGCGAGCGCCGTCTTCCGATACCCTGTGAGGATCCATCTGGGGGCGGGGAGGATATTAAAGTGATTGTAGTTAATGAAATGTGACTTGCTAATAAAGGGGCGATGCTTAAGAGTTTCATATCCCCCAGTGATAGATAACAAATAAAATTACCCTCTAGTTGATGAGAACATCTTTTTTGCTGTTGTTATGTGTAAGTGTATACACATGCATGTGTGAGTGTAAGCCAGGAGTTGATACTGGACATCTTACTCTGTCACACCCTACTTTAAGTGCTTGAGATGGGGTCTGTTGATGAACCTGAATCTCACCCTTTAGCTAGACTGGTGAGCCAGAAAGACCTTAGGATCCTCCCGTCTCCATTCCCCATCACTGGGATTTGGATGGCAAGTACTCTATTGACTCATCCATCTCCCTTACCCTGTAGATGGCAATCATCCATAATACACAATGTCAAAGATACTTAACAGAAGTGTGTGTGTGTGTGTGTGTGTGTGTGTGTGTGTGTGTGTGTGTGTGATCCATGGGGAATGAACTTCTTTGTGGACAGAAGAGGCATCGAGGATATCTTATGTGATGCAACAGGTAAGACTTGTCAAGTTAGACAGGTAGCTCACAATTACAATCTAAGGACTTGAGAAGCTGATGAAGAAGGATCAGTGGCTAGGGAAAGCCTGGGCCATATAGTGATTTCCAGGCCAGCATTGGCTACATTGTAAGGCCCTGCCTCATAAACAAGAAGAAATAAGACACACGCTGCATTTAGAGGAAGCCACCTGGAGATGAAGGCCACCCAGAGATCCAAAGGAGGCAAAGCTGGAAGCCAGAGTTTGACTTCTCTTCCAGATGAATATCTATTTACCCAGTACTTCTCAGCCTGGGTCTTACAAACGTGTAAGGGCAGTGCCTGTTTTCACATTGCAGCGGAGAGGGTACTTGTGCAGGCCATATGGACAAGTGCTTGGAAACGCTACAATATAAGGACTGTCTCACCCAAAACATCCCCATGGAGTAACTAGCCAAACACAAGCTTATAAAAGGTTCCCGTCAATCATCTCTCTGGGTGGCTCTTCAAGGAACCCACCTTCTCGTTCCCAAGCTCCCATAAGGCTTTGCAGTGGCTTCAACCACCATAGAAGAGGGAGTTCAACTTGCTGTTGTTTTCCTCTGGTTTTTTTGAGACAGGGTCTCTCTGTGTAGTCCTGGCTGTCACGGAATTCACTCTGTAGGCCAGGTTGGCCTTGAACTCAAAGAGATTCACCTGCCTAGTCCTGGAATTAAAGCTATGTACCGCCACCACCCAACTGAGGTTGATCGTTTTCACGACAGCTTAACTGCCCTCTCTCTTCCAAAACTCAAAGTCCTTCACGATCAGTAGTTAGAAAATATGTTAAACTAAACACAAAGGGGAAATAAGTCAGTTTATACCAACCAAAGCACAGCCAGGCATAACACTGTCTCTCTTTCCCCAATTTAATTAGATGAAAGTAATCGGAAAGAGGTGTGCCCTCGTTAACCAAGTCTCAGGAACAAACCAAAAGGTACCCTCTCCTTACCGGAACCTCTCACAAACAGTCTTTTACCAAACACACACACATGGATCCACGCTTCACTATTCCAGTCATGCAAATATAAGGCTGGAGAGACGATTCAGCAGCTAAGCATGCTTGTTGCTCTTCCAGAGGACGAGAGTTTGGTTCCCAGCACTGAAGTCAGGCAGCTCACTGCTGCCTGTGACTCCAGCTCCAAGAGATCTGCTCACCCCATTCTTGACTCTGAAAGTGCCCGCACACATTGGCATACTCACATAGACACACACACACACACACACACACACACACACACACACTTGCACAAATAAAAAAATAAATATTAAAATTCTAAAATAGATCAGGATAATCTTTAAACATGAGTGAGATCCAACCTTGAAACAAATCATTTGTTTTCACTAAAGGAGAAATGTCAATTTTTTTTTTTAATTTTTACACAAGAGCCTCACTGTATAGCCCTGGAAAGCCTGGAACTCCCTATGGCAACCAGATTGGCCTGGGACTCACAGAGACCAGCTTGCCTCTGCCTCTCTAGTCCTGAGACTAAAGCCATGTGCCACTGTACGCAGCTCAATCATACTTTTGAAAAATGCTCATGTAAGTCAATAAGTATCCTATAAAAGCAGATATGTCTGGGCACTTACTTGCTATGAAGGTCCACTGGGTTCAGATCTCAGGACAGCAGGATTCTGCAGGGGCTTACTACCAGGCCAGAGCTGAACTGAAGGGACCATGTGGCATTAGGAAACACTGGAGACCTTAATCAAAGCTCATTGATCTTGCTTCCTACAAACTAAAGGCCTTCTAACTGCAGCAGCAGGCCTCAGCACTGTCCACACTTGGGGTACAGTCAATCAAGCATAAACTCACAGGGAGGGGGGTTGTATTTTAACTAAATCCAAAGGTGTCCTCTCCATATTAAACGCCAATAAGTGATGCCTAAAAGTGTCAAATATACAAATTCGTGTAGTTATTCTGTTATTAAAATGCCCTCCGGTCAAGATTCAGTACTTAGCACAATATTGCACCAGACAACAATAGATCATGGCTTGGTAAAATTTAAAAAGTGGCATTCAAAGACTGTCCTTTCTCTCTTTTAAAAAAAAAAAAAATGCTGGTGACCGGACCTCACTTGGACCTCTCAGCCAATTTTATCACAGCCTTAATTAAGTTAAATTCGACTGTTGAATCTTTCTTCAAATATGTCAAGCACGCACTTGAGAATCAGTATTCACATCTCCAAAGCTCATCAGTCACTGCGACAAAAGAAATCAAGAGTGCGCGCCAAAATTAACTTTGAACTGTCTGTTAACTCGTTTCCTTAAGGATGATAAGTTAGAAATCCACTTTGCATCTGTAACGAGATGTGTCTTCCCCTTCAGGTGCCCAGGCGGAGGAAGGGAAGCAGCTTGAGAGGGATCCAAGGAAAGCAGGTCCGGAGCAAGGCCAGTGGGGGTAACTGCAGGACGACTCAGACTGACCAAACGTATGTAGCTCCCACCCAGTAGTGAATTCTGGGGTACACGGCAGTCTGGATAGGGGATTTGCATGGTTGAAAGGACTATTTCAGCTACGAGATATTGCATGCTAGTAAATTAGAAATGGAAAGACATGTAGGGTGGCAAAATCATTTGAAAGACCCCTCCAGATGGTTAAGTATGTGAGGAGCCGTGTTAGATGCTGAGGAGTAGGAGGGGGGCACTGAACAAACAGGCTCCCGTGTCTTTGTGGAAGGAGCATCGGCTGACATTCCACAAGAGAGCACAGCATATTGAGTTACAGTGAGTCACACCTGCATGTGTGCCTGCAGACACTATAGGAGTGTCTGATTTTAAATGAATGGTTAGGGCTGGGAAAGCAAGTATACACTGGAGGCCTTGGGTTCTATCACCAGTACCACACACACACACACACACACACACACACACACACACATACACACACACAGGGGACTTTGAAAGTGTACCTATCTGATGATCAGACAATGCTGTGGCTAGGAAATGAACTTTTTCTTACTGGTGTGTGTGTGTGTCTGTGTGTGTGTGTGTGTGTGTGTGTGTGTGTGTGTGTGAACTTCCTTGAAACCGATCATTCTTTCATAGGGTTAAATGAGGCAGGATGCTTGACATTTGGGCTGCTTCCTTATCGGTTTTTCAAACGAGCTGCCTACCCACCTCAACATCAGATCTGGAGCAGTGGCTGCTGTCCTGGGTGAGGCTGCCATGTGCCCAGGAGAGGGGAGTTTAAAAGCAAAAGTAGATCCATCTTTCTAAAGGCTTACCGTTCAGCTAAACTCTAAACATGAGTATGGCTACACACACACACCACACACCACAGACACAGCACACACACCCCACACACCAAACACACACACACACACACACCACACATACCACACACCAAACACACATACACACATATACCACAAACACACCACAGCAAGCATACACACATATACCACATACACTACATACACACACTACACACACCCCACACCAAATACACACATATACCACACACACACGACACATACATACCACAAATGTATACCTTACATCTATACAAACACACACATACCACACACAGAGACCACAGACACACCACATAGATACACACAACTTTAAAAGCGACATTTTAGAAAGGCTTTTTTTTTCTTTGTAAACCAAAAGGATGTAGTAAATACATAGGACAAGCCAGCTGCCATTTTCCCTTCGGCAGGCCCGGTGGGAGAAAGACCATTTACAATGGATCTAGGGTTTTTTAAAATATAGGCAAAGGCATGGGCAACCAGAAACACACAGGGTGACCTTTCCCTGCTAATTATTTAAACATGAGTAGGATTTGGTGTAGGGTTTGGTTTTTTGTTTTGAATCTAGGCTGGTCTTGATCTTTCAATCCTTCTGCTTTATTTCTGTTCACTATCTTTAATCTATAATAAATCTGACTTCTTTATCTTAAATGGTCAATGTGTTTTCTGAGACTAGATAACTTCATTTTTATTCAAAGGCGTTCAGAAATCCCAAATAATTCGTCCAGAACTTAAAAATTTAATACAACTTAAAAATAAAACTATTCATCATTTGACACCAATGCCTAAAAGTATAAAAGAAGGTTTTCAAAAGATATAAAAGCGGAAAGAATTGCGGATTGAGCCCTTGTGTGCCCAAAACCCACCTTTGAAAATTATTCATGAATGTCTAGAAACCATTCCTCATATATAAACTGTGAGTTCCCTACACCTTCACACATTTCTATCAATTATTTTGGAACATTTTCGAGACACCACAGCATTTCATGTGTAACGGTTTTTGGATGCATCTCTTAAGCGATTAGGATTCCCTTCAGTATCAAGTGTGAATACCACACTCAGTGAGATACAATCAGAATACTCAAATAAAAATGTTTTTCTGGATCCAACTACTCTAGGAATGGAGACAATCTTTTTAACATGTAGTTACAGACCTGGGTTCAGAATAATTATTGAAATATTTTAAGTAAGTCTTAGAGGCATTGAATCCTTGTGGTGATTGGGGACTAGAGGTACGGTGCACTTAGTGGAGGGTTTGCCTAACATACACAAAGCTCTGTGCATTTAAACCCGGACACCACACCACGTATAGCGGTGCATGCCTGCAGCCCTAACTCTTGGGAGGTGTAATATCCTTGGCTACATGACAATTTTGAGGTCAACCTGTGCTACATGAGACCCTAGCTAGGAAGGAAGGGTGGGAGGGAGAAAAGGAAAGAGAGAGGGAGGGAG